TGATGCGTCTTAAGAGTGTGGGGCATATTGTAGATGACCTTCCCAAGCAGGATAAAGTGTACCAGGATCTTAAATTCTTCGAAAATAATTTTCATGGAGTGATGCCATTGGAAATCGTGCTGGATACCCGGAAGAAGAACGGCGTAGTGTCTATACCCGTGCTGGAAAAGATGTCGCAGCTGAATGAATACCTGCACCAGTTTCCGGAAATCGGGCATTCCCTGTCTATCAGCGAAGGAGTGAAATTTGTACGCCAGGCTTATTATGATGGCGACAGTAGCAGCTACTCGGTACCCAATATGTTTGATGCCAGCTTCCTGCAACCCTATCTGCGCATGAAGAACAGCAGCGGCAGCGCCGATGCGAATGACAAAAACAATATGTTCGCCAAACTGGTCAGCTCATTTATGGACAGTACCCGCCAGAAAGCACGCATCTCCATCAATATGGCCGACGTGGGTTCTATAAGGTTGCCGGTATTGCTGGACAGCATCCGCCATAAGACCGATGAGCTGTTTGATACTTCAAAATACAGTGTTACCTATACGGGTACAAGTATCGTATTCCTGGAAGGTTCCAAATTCATTATCAATAGCTTAAGGGATAGCCTGGCGCTTGCCTTCATCATGATCTTTGCCTGTATGATCGTATTGTTCCGGTCGATACCCATTGTGCTGATCTCCTTCGTGGTCAATGTGGTACCGCTGCTTATTACAGCAGGTGTGATGGGATGGATGGGTGTACCGCTGAAACCCTCTACTGTATTGGTATTTAGTATTGCGCTGGGTATTACCGTAGATGTGACCATACGATTCCTCGTCAACTTTAAGCAGGAATTGGAGCATCATAATGAAGATATTGCGAGCACCGTTCGCCGCACCATCCATGATACCGGCTTGAGCATTATCTACACATCATTAATCCTTACTGCCGGTTTTGGGGTATTCTGCCTGTCTCAGTTTGATGGCACGAAATCACTGGGCTTTCTCACATCGCTGACGCTGCTGGTAGCCATGGTGACGAACCTGACCTTACAGCCCGCGCTGCTGTTATGGATCGCCAAGGCAAAAGACCGGAGGAACGAACGTAACGGCATTAATAACGAAAGCAATACGGATCAAAAAACAAATACTTAATTTTACGTCGATTTTAGATAAATACCCCGATCTATGCATTTTGATAAAATAAAGAATAAAGGACAGGCACAGTTATTCCAGAGTGAGCTAATGGAAAATATGACCAAAACCCACCCCGTGGTCATTTATAGTATGTACCTGCCTGTTATTATTTTTATGCTTTATTATGGCTTTGCTTATAAAGGGCTTGGAGCCGGCCGCGAAATCTTATTGTTTATTGGTGGCGCCCTTTTTTGGAGCCTTTTTGAATATATCATGCACCGGAAGCTTTTTCATATGATCGTGGAAAAGCCCAAGGCGCGCAGGTTTGTATACACCATGCACGGCGTACACCACGAGTTTCCCAGGGATAAGGAACGCCTGTTTATGCCGCCGGTACCCAGCATGATCATTGCTACTGTACTGTTCAGTCTTTTCTACCTGGCCATGAGCTGGAATGCCCTTGCTTTTTTCCCCGGTTTCCTATTTGGCTACCTGGTCTACGGATCTATGCACTATGCCATTCATGCATTTGCCCCGCCCCGCTTTTTAAAAGCACTGTGGCGCAACCATCACCTGCACCACTATAAGGCGGAGGACAAAGGCTTTGGGGTTAGCTCCGTATTGTGGGACGTTGTTTTCAAGACCGTGCCCAAGAAGGAAGAAGAGGTGAAGAAAACCGCATAGGCTCACGGTTGGATGGCCGGTGAAACCTGCCTGATTATTAAACGCCTGCTAATTTATATATCCGGGAATGTTACAGTCTACCCACGGCATTGTGCTTCGGTCTGTTAAGTATGGGGAGAGTAGCCTTATCTGTACCATTTTTACCCGTACTTACGGCGTACAGGCCTATCTGATGCAAGGTGTCCGGTCCTCTTCAAAGAGCAGGGGCAGCCGCGCGGGCCTGTTGCAACCATCTATGCTGCTGGACCTGGTAACCGATCATAAGCCACAGAAATCGCTGCAACGCATACGGGAATTTACCCCTTATTATTTCTACCAGCATCTGCAGGAAGATATTGTGCGGAACAGCATCGCCCTGTTTTCGCTGGAACTATTGTTGCGCCTGTTGCCGGAAGCCGCCAATGCTCCCGAACTATTCGACTTTACCAGCGATTATTTCCAGCAGCTCGACCAGCTGCCATTGCATGCTATTCCTAATTTCCCCGTTTATTTCCTGATAGAATGCGGCAGGCACCTTGGTTATGAAATACATGGTTATTATTCATCCGCTACCCCTTACCTGAATATTGAAGAAGGCGCCTTTACCGGCCAGCCGCCCCTGACCGGTACGGTTGTGAATGATGAAGATGCAGTAGCGCTCGGGCAGTTACTGCGCACCCGCACTTATGAAGGCTTGCAGGAAACGGTGATGAATGCCGGGATGCGGAACCGTATCCTTGAAGGGCTGCTGATCTTTCTGCACCGCCATACCCAGCATATGTCGCCCCTGAAGTCGTTGGATATCTTAAAGGCAATTCTTCATTGATAAAAAAACGGGTCAGAAGTTGCCTCCTGACCCTCGACTGACCTAGTCTGAAAAAAGATGATTATGGTGCTATTGAATAGCGCGTATTACTATTCTTACGGGAAAACATTTTACGGCCCATCTTAGCCAGGTACTTCCTGAAAAAGTTAAACTGCCCGAATGGAATGCTTACCAGCAGTACAGATAGAGGCCAGATGATGGTCACCAATACCAGGTAAACGATTGCTTTAAGTACAAAGGGATCAAGGTCCAGCAGATCCAGCAGCTTATGTGCCGCACGGCCACTTAAACTTCCGCCGATCGCAAAAGTGCACAGGATCAGGAACAGGCGGATACCGCTAACACCCCATTTGTTCTTAAGCTTGTCAAACATAAAAATTTCTATTATAGAGAAAGAATAGTTAGTATGATGCGGCGAAATTATGACGATTATCAGACAGAGACTTGTCAAAACGGGAAAAACTTTGAAACTTCTGTGACATTACTCCCTTCTTAGCCTTGATTATGGCCCGGCGCATAGAAGAACGTAGTTTTGCAGCCAACTATGCACGATCTATTGAAACACTTTTGTTGCGTATTGCTGACGGTCTTTTCATTTATGGGAAATTCCATCGCACAGACCAGTTATCCTAAAGATTATTTCCGGAATCCACTGGACATTCCTATTACACTTGCCGGAAATTTCGGCGAATGCAGGCCCGGTCATTTCCACAGTGGCATAGATATTAAAACCGCAGGCCGGGAAAACCTTCCTGTATTTGCCGCTGCCGAAGGTTATATCTCGAGGATCAAAATGGAGCCCGGCGGTTTTGGCCATGGCCTATACATCACCCACCCAAATGGTTACACCACTTTATATGCACATCTGAACAATTTTACCCCTGCTATACAGCAATATGTGCGACAAGAGCAATATAAAAAGGAAAGCTGGACGGTAGATTTGGTAATGCCCCCCAACCAGTTTCCGGTAAAAAAAGGACAGCAGGTAGCGTTCAGTGGTAATACCGGTGGCTCTACGGCGCCGCATCTTCACTTTGAGATCCGTGATACCAAAACGGAACATCCGTTGAACCCCCAGCTATTTGGCTTCAGTATTCCGGATACCAGGCCGCCGGTACCGCTAAAGCTCGCCGTATATGACCGTTCAGTAAGCATCTATAACGATAACCCTATTCTTTTTAATCTTACCCGGAAAGGCAACTATTATCAACCGGCAAAAGATACCATCCTGGTTTATGATCAGAGCGGTTTTGGTATTGAAGTCAATGACTTTATGAATGGCAGTGAAAACACCCTG